ATATCCATATTATGGTTTAAAATAAATATTTATCTCATATATATCTTATTATATAAATAGACATGTATTTAAAATTTGAGGGCACTTTCCCCCATATGTATATATGCCCCTAGGTCCTGACATAGATCTCCTAAAACATTTATAGATGCAGGCACTAGGAGAATCTTTTATTCTAATATTTCATCATGATCTTGGTTCCTGACATATAGTTCCTAAATCCCTTGAATCCCTTGGAATTGTCTGAATGACTGGAACATCTTTTGTTCTGAAGAGGCAATCCTGGTAGATTCAGAGTAGGGTGGGAGCTGTTGTTGTCAAGGAAATCAGCATTGTGACTAAAGCATTGGAATTTTCAGTTCCTCTCTCTTAATTCCAGTGTAGGAAGGGGAACTGAAGTTGAGTTGTGTGCCAGTGGCAAGTGGCAAACTAAACTGTGCCTGCATAGTGATGCCTCTATGAAAGTCCTAAAGGAGGATGTTCAGAGAACTTCCAGACTGCTGAACACTTGGAAATCTGGGAGGATAATGCCCCTGAAAGAGGATGGAAGCTCTGTTCCTGTTCCCAATGCCTTACCCTTTACATCTCTTCCTACTGACTCCTCTTCTGTATCCTTTCAAACACTGTTTATAATAAACCAGTAAATGAAAGTAAAATGTTTCCCTGAGCTTATGAGCCACCATAATAAGTTGTCAAACCTGAAACCTGAGGATGGAGTTGTAGGAACTCAAATTTTTAGCTGGTCAATCAAAAGTTCAGGTGAATATGTACACTCAGTTTTATGGGACTCAGCCCTTAATCTATGGGATTTGAAAACTACCAAATGACGTAATTGAATTGAATTATTGGGCACTAGCTGGTGTCTACTGGAGAAAAATATCTATATTTGCTACCAGCAGTCAAGTGTGTTTAGTGTTCAATATTAGAAAAATTATTTTCTTCACATTTTTTCTTTCCCTTATACATGTACACACACACACACACACACACACACATGTGGGGAGCCATGATTGGATGAGAATCTCTGTCTTAGAACAGGAGCATGTGCCTGAGCTGGGAACTTCCTGCATAAAGTACAGATCAAGATTGACCAGTTGCTATGGTGATGCTCTGCTTAATGAGGTTCTGTGCAAGGCATAGGACTATGAGTCTTGACTCTGAGTTCAGACACCAGCTGCCAAGGTAGAGAATTATGAGTGCAAAAAGATAGTTATAATTGGCTGCCAGTCTTTGACCTTCAATCCTGCATGCTTTGAAGACACTTTCTCACAGAAAACCCTTTTGATGATAAAACTTATATAATAAAAATTCTGAGCTAGCTCTGGATCAGTGTTCCTCCATCAAAGAATGGTGTCCCATCTGGTCCCAGCTTTCTCTCTGTGTGTATTTGTCTTTTCCCCCCATTTCCCTTCACTGTTTTCTGAATCAATAGCCCTGAAGGTTGCACTACACATACTCACAAATATTTATGTTGAATATTTTTGAGGATCCATTGGATTCTTTGATACCAATTTTATACAAGATGTCATGTGGCAATTTCCTTCACCATACCAGTTTTTCAATCTAGTTTTTTTTTTTAAGAAAATTTTTTAAAAAGAGCATTTGTGTTAATTAAAAAATTCTGTCCCAGAATTCTTAGAACACACACACACAAAAATCTATTTCATTTCTAAGACATTATAATTTACACATAAATTTGTCATTCTATTACTGCACACTCTCTTTACTTTGATATGTACCTTTTTATTTTCTTGCCTCTGGATTAAGTTCATACTATTCATTGGCAACATCATAGTTCTATTATTTTGCTGTGTTTTGTGTTTTAATTAGGTTCATAAAATGAAGGATTGAACATGTGTTAAGTGCTCATGAAAAACCAGCCTCTATCTCAGAGCAAAGCCTGTCCAAGGAAGGGACATGACCTTTGTCCTTGGAAAGACCCACAGAGAACTCCTAGGCACATTCCCACCCTGCTAAGTGGTTTATCTACAAATAACTAGAGAGATGTGCTGCACCAAGTGTCCCTGACTCAGTCAGGCTAGGTGGGGATCCATAGCAACTCCCTAGCAGCCACCAATCAGCATGAGATAGGGAAATACCTGGGATGCCAGATGACCCTCCCAGTAGTTTATGGTGTTGGGAAACCATGTAGTTCAGCACGAACACCCCTCTTGGCTTAAACCAGTCAGTTCAAATGAATCCCCCTCTTGTAGTAACCAATCACCCCTCCCCAACTTGTTCCCGCCAGTGAATGTGCTAATCATGTATTAGAGTTTTTATTTGATTTCCCCGCGGTGTGTGATGATTTGCTAAGAGATGCTATGATGTATGTGGGGGTCCCTGCCTTCTCCAAAGAATATATAAAACTGCTTCAAACCCTGGGCTCGGGGCCTCTCAGCGTCCCTGTGCGCGTGGAGGACCGAGCTAGCTCTCAATAAACACCTCTTTGCTGTTTACATCGATCTTGGTCTCTGGTGGTCTTTTGGGGGTCCCGAATTCGAGCATAACACTCATAGTTTTAAGACAATGTTTTGAGCTTATTTTCCAGTTATTAATCTAAAACTTTTTATTCTAATCACATGTATATGAAATCAGGAAAAAAGATAGTATCTTACTCAAAACTTTAGAGAAGTTATAGTAATTTTGTCCATATGTCCAAAAACTAATTACAGAAAGAAAGATTACTACATCTTTCATAGCTTCATTAGTCTATGTATGAGATAATGACTACATTCTGCTAATGTCCCTTGTCCCTGACCAGTCTTATGGGTGTATGAATATTTTAATGTAGAATTCTTCTTAGGTTATTGGATACAGTAACAATATCTAGAAAATGTCTGTAATTTCATACCTATGTAGACTTCTCTTTCTAACTCTAGACCTCATTCAACCCCTTACATATGGGAAACAGACTGGTGGAGAAGCAGCAGTTAGTACGTGGAGTGGAGGAGAACTTCAAACTGCATTTTACACTGGAGGGCCCAGAAGAGAACAAACTTCAAATTCTGAGCCCCAGTCCACAGTTTCTCACAACATTATAGGTTATTATCTTAGATCCATCTTATCAATAGGGTTTTTTTCTTCTTTAAAAAAAAAATTCCTAATCTATGTGGCCAAAGGCCTTGTGCAGGGTCTCTAATATAAAACATGCTTACAGAAATAGATGAAGAAGTTTTTTCCTGAGCTTCTGTTAAATCTCTAGCCTTAGAAACCTCACACAGGGTTGTTTACATATCAAGAGGGAGTAGTCAGACTCCTAGGGCAGTTATTTACAATTCAAAAGGCAAGGATCTAGGGCTAATTAGGCTTCCTGAAGAAAGGCTGAGAGTGGAGAAGGGAACTGAAAGTTTCCACAGGCATTGATTTCTTCCTGTAATTTTTTTAATAATTTCATTTCATACCCAGGTCTAGTTTTGCCATCGTAATATGAATTAAAGCACTTTCAAATTATGCCTGAAACTTAGCTGATGATCTTCTCTAAACTTGTCTTTTGTTAGAAAAAGTCATGTCATTCATTGTATCAGGCAAGCTGGAGACATAAACATTCTTTTTGCACTCAAGCTACATAATCCATCTCTAAATCTTGACAATTTTATCTTCTACCTCTACCATTTATCCAACATCATTTCCAGAACCACACTGTCAGCTCCCCTTTAATCTGAACTACATTTATTTTTCTAACTAGTCCTATAGGACTGAAATCCTGATTTTCTTACATGCATTCAAAGGGTTTTACTCACCATGGTTCCTAAAAGAAGCAAACACAAATGCACAAAAATAATGATGAATACTGGTTACTTATAGTTACCATATACTGGAGGCTCTTCAAGGCACCTCCCACATTCTAGCTCATTTGATCCTTACCGTAGGTAGGTGCCAGTATTTGTCTCCAATTTACAAATGAGGGGAAATAGTTACCAAGAATTTGAAGATTTGTCCCAGGACCACAAAGCTACTAAGTGTTGAAGCTGGGATTTAAATCTAGAAATCTTAGCTTTAGAGTTGATGCTCATTACAACTACATGATGTTGTCCCTCCACGAACATAATCTCTTCTTATTCAGAACTCTTCTGTAATTTCCAAATTGCTCCTAGGAACTATAGAGTCATCATACTGTGCCTGGAATATTCTTCCCTCCCACTCTGTGTTACATGTTTTTCATGCTTTATATGTTTCCATTATTTCTTTAGGGAAACTATCAAATTATTAGTAATTCCTTTGTTAATAATAATTGTCACAGATGAAATTTGACGTATTTTGTGATTATTTAGTTAATTTGTGTCTCATTCTCTACAACAGGAACTGAACAGAATTATATCTCCTAAGTGTACTATAGTCTGGAATCTGTATAATAGTTAAGAAATACTTTAAATAAACACACAAAAAATGTGGGAAGGAAGAAAGGAAGGAAGGAAGAGAGGGGGGAAGGAGGAGGGAAATTCTTTGTTTTGAAAAGTTCTGTGAGGACCATTTCACAACAACCTTTCTTCCAGGTTAGGAATCTTTTTATATCCTTTCACTTGACTGCTCACCAATTCTCCATTTGAACAGTTCCAGTAATGAACTGGACCTCAGTAGAAATTGCTTCCATGACTGGCTGACTTATCTGTGAAGGATGCATTCCAAGATCCCAAGTGGATACCTAAAACTGCAGATAGTATCAAACCATACATATATTGTGTTTTTCCTATACACACATACCTAGGATGACATTTAATTTATAACCAAGGCACAGTTAAGAGATTATGTATATGTGTATATATACATATATGTGTATATATACATATTCATATTATATATGTATATATATATATGTTTATACATATAAAGGTATGTATTAATCTCTATGGAATATTTATTGTTTTAGTATATGTCTTACAAGATTAAAAGGCTAAAGCAAAGTATAATAATATCCTGGGCTGTTTCTTTTTAACTCATGGGAAACATATATATCACACCAAATGATTCTATTTTTTTCTTATGTTTACTGGAAGAAAAAGTCAGTAGAGGAAAACACACTGGCATATATTCATGCTAGAAAAATAAAAATAATTGTTATAATGACACTTATTAAAAATATCTCCCTAAATAAAACTTGTGAAAAATGCCCTTGAAACAAATATTTTACTTCTGTTTTGCTAGAAATCGTTTACTCTTTTTATTTATTAAATTCAAAACTCATGAGCAGAACAAGAGCAGAATAATTTGCAATTGAAAGTGATTTCAGGTGTCAAAACAATGATTCTGTAAGAAAAGTGTTATAATGAATTTCAAATTTAGAACTTTCAATTGCTAGAGAACAGTGCTGTATATAAAAAAATTGTCACAAAAATGATAGTGAATTACAAATGTCTTCTGCTTTATTATTTGGTATTAAATGACTAGAACTCTCTTTATATGAAGTAGTTGACTCCTTTAATACACACACTTCAACTAAATAAAAAAATTTCATGTTTAAAAGCCATTTAGCAATCTGCATTTATTTCATCATCATCATAATAAAGAAATATTGCATTGTTTGTTTTCTTTAGATCTTCCAACTTCCTGTTTGATTATTTATTACTTCCTGTTTGATTATTGTATTTATACTGTAAATATAGTATCTGCATAAGTAATATTGAACATAAACAAGTACATGCTTTGCATTGTGTAAATCCATTATTTGAACATAAACAACAAGTGTTTTTGTGTAACAATGTAAATGCATTATTTGATGATAGTTAATAAGTCATTAAAGACATAAAAAGTAACTATCTTTGAGTTGATAAACTATCTTAACTCTGTGTCTGTTTTTTTTATTATTATTATTATTTTTTTTAGACGTTGGAACCTTATTTTATATTATATGAGGTGCTGAGAATTGAACCCAGTGCCTCACACATGCTAGGCAAGTGTTCTGCCACTGAGCCACAACCCAGCCCCTCTGTGTCTGTATTTAGTAAAGAAAAGAAAATTAATACGAGCCACACCGTGAGTCATTGGTGAAAGCCTCTTCAAATACAAAAAAAGCCTAAGCCGCACAAATGAAAATGGTGGCCAAGAGCAACTGGAAATATGATTTTTTTTTCCCTAAACCTATGAATAATGACCAAATTTCATGTCAGAAACATGAGCTCACTAAACCAATCTAGATTTGGGAAGATGTATTTAAATAATGACAGCCTGAAGAAGCCTGAAGCACGTCATTAAATCCATTGGGATTGGTGGCCTGATTTCATTTCCATCCAGACGGAGGTAGCTCAGCTGAGGTCCATGAATAAACACATCTTGTTCTGCATGCAGTGCCGTAGATGCAGGACAGATTACAGATACGTTCACACCTATGGAGTCAAAGATAGCACAAGTGATTTCTAACCAGAAAAAAACAAAGGATAAAGACCAGTGGTCCTAATGGAGGGCCTAGTAGTCTGATGCATGAAAATGTAGAGATACAAACCATTGGTGTGCCAGTGATTGTGAATATTTGTTTTATAAAAGTAACCTGAAAAAAGTGTGCAGTGTAGGTATACTCATTTCATGTTCTGCAGTACTTAGGGAAGAACACTAGAAAGGAAACATTGCTAAGAGCTATGATGGAAACAAAAATGTATGGCATTTTCTAAGCTTATAGAAGAGATGATGCAAGTTTAAATTACTATAGTATTTATAGCATGTATAAATTAGTATAATACAGTATCCAGGGACTTGGAGGTGGAGATACCGTTTTAAGTGTGGTATTCAAAGAGTGGTTGGTGATATGGGTAGGTGGGTAGATGCATGGATGAGTGGGTGGAAAATCAATCTAATATAAGAGAAAGTACTTGAAAATTACCTCAAAAGATAAAAAAAAGACATATGAAATCAAATTTTAAAAGTACAATTAACATAACTACATATGTACTACTTACAGAAAACAATTAGAATCTCCACATGTAAGTATATTTAATTGGTAAGGAAACACTTGTCAAGAATGGCTTTACAAAGATATGAAGCCAGAAAAATCCTGTCAACCTTTTCACGTGGTTAAGATGGCAGAAATTGTGCACCTGCCTTGGATCAGAGCCTTTGACACCAATGACTACTGAGATTTAGGAGCATCCTTGAGAGAGGTCTGTTAAACTAACAAAATTCAGAGAAGCATGTAACCACGAATTTCAACCATAAATACTTACACTATACCATCTTCACATACCTTCCTGAAACTACTTTGAGCAAGAAAACTTTCCTGAGGAAACCCATCAAACTTGGGACATGCCTCTCATCTGCATTCTATTAGAGCATACAGATTCATATTTTGTTGAATAATTTTATGCTTACAGAAAGGTTGCTTTGCTTCAACCTTGAGCCATTTTGAGAATTTAGCTTAATAATAAGAATAATTACATTCATGTGTAGCAGTTCTGTGATTACAAAGTTATTTTTTTCTAACATATTATCACAGGACTTTTATCAGACAGTGTTTATTATTCTCCCTACCTGGGCATTGTGGGAACAGTGGCCCCAGTCTGGTGTTTTTCCGACTACATGCAGTCCATTGCTGACTGGAGAGGATATGTCCCTTTTAGTGTGCTACCTCATATCCTTATCACCCCCATGCCCTATAACCAATGTAAACAGAATAAGAAATAAGTGTGCTAGTCTAATTACATTGGGACAAATCAATTTTGATGTTTCTCAGAGATGTTCAGGAAGCAACTATTTAAGTGGATACATTTTTTAACCAAAATTTAACTTCTTTAAGATGTTTGGAAGAAATAAATATTTCTGTCACATTGCACGAGATAAATTCACTGTCTGGCAAATTCTGAGGGCTCTTCATAGAAAAGTTAAGCTTTTTGCAAACCATTTTATTATCAGATAGATTATATGGCATGAAGAACTAAATACTTCACCAGTTATTATAGCACAGTGTAATATAATTATGAGCCAACTATTATAGTCTGGGAAATTAATATTTGATATTAATTTTCTCACAATTTAGAAATAACCCCAGTTGATATCTATATGAAGAACAAATGGTTCAGTTTCTCTTTATTGGTAATGTTGTTATTCTACTTATAGATTTTTTTTCCAAATTTTTACATTGAAGAACTGAAGAAAAGTATGGTTATTATACTATGTGAGTGAAAATAAAACTTTATTTATTTTATAATTAGAAACCCTAGAGTCATTCTTTGTCTTTGAGCCACCTATCTGAACTTCAGTTTTTTCCTTGTAGAAATTCCTGATAATGTCACACAGAGTTCTTGGGAGGATTAGTGGTTCTCAAAACATGGACCTGTAGCAGTAATACCACCCTTAATACCACCAGGGAGTAAATTATTAGGTTCCACCCCAGACCTACTGAGTTAGACCCAGTAACACATGTTGTGCAAACACTCCAGGCGATTCTGATGCACACTAAGGTATGAGACACACTGAAAAAGAGAAATGCCTGAACAAATATTCTGGAAACCCTCTTTAAAATAAGGGTGAGGGAAGGACACAATGCTCTATTTCTTTGCTGTGTTTTGAATTTTGCTACCTCTCTCCTATATACCCTTCTTCTCAGGGTAGAATCTCTTAATTCATAAACAAGACTCTAAGTGTAAAATGAACAAGACTCATATAAAATGAACTTCCCATACTAGCTGTCTCTGAGGCTTTTTTTTTTTTTAATTGTGAGATGAAGAATGTACCTGTAGAAGCACAGAACTCTCAGCAGGAAAAAAAAAAAAAAGCATACTTAGGTCAGTGTTGGCTGTTGTACTATTTGGTTAAGCTAAATAGATCCTCTAGCGATTTTTCTATTACACCTTTTTTTTTTTGATTACTGGAATAAATAGTATGTTTCCTCACCATGGAAATATAACTGCTGTGGTGGAAACCTGCCATCTAATTCCTGGATTTTATGCTCAAGTACACCGTTTCCAAAAAAAAAAAAAAAAAAATCTTGAATACTCAAACAGTACCAAGTGGGGAAATATTCTTGCAAATGTTATGCTATATGATTATTTGCTTAAAGCAAAGTTTATTGCATAATAACCAGAAAACCCACCTTTTGACAGTTATCTGGGTAACTTTCTTTCAATCATTTCAATTGAATCTCACTTTAGGAATGCATTTACTAAGGTTATTCAATGCAAATCTCTCCAAGGTTATCTTCCTAAAGGGCTTACACAGGGTCAAAGATGCATAGACTGATGCTTGGCTGGGTGTCATCACTTCTGTGACTTGACAAGATAGGGTCTACCTCTACACCAGGTGCAGCCTGCCTTGGGCACGTTTGTGAAGAGGTCAGGTTTATTTCTATTGCTCACAGCCTCTACCTTCTATAAACAATTCCTTTGATGGCAATTCTGCATCCAAGAACTTTATATTCATTCCTTGGCCTTTTATCAAAAGCTGTATTCAGGAAAGGAGAGAGCATTTTACCTTGTAGGTTTACCACTAAGTTGCAAAAGATTGCCAGCTTCTATGTATATTTCCATTACAATTAAAGTCTCGAACTACTGTAGTAGTTCTCAGTGGTTCCTAGAGCAGCAAGGTCAACTTCACTTAGGAACTTGTTAGAACTGAAAATTCTCATTCCCACTGAAGACCTACTGAATCATAAACCTGGGGAGAGGAACCACAAATTATACACACTGAAGTTTAAGAAATCCCTTCTGATAAGAGTAGTTTATCCAGAGATCTAACTATGGAGTTTCAGTCATCAGCTGGCCTAAAGACTTTAGGATAAAGTTACCTTCCTTATACCTCCTAAATCAAATGCCCTCTATTACTACTTATGAGTGTGTGTGTGTGTGTGTGTGTGTGTGTGTGTGTGTGTGTGTGTGGTGTCTGGCATACTTTATAAAATAATTCGACCCACAAAGACAGAAATACCAGACTCTTCATGAGTAAAAGAAGACAGGGATGGTTTCTCCCATAAACAACAGTCCTCTATAAATTACTCAGGTCCAATTTTCAATCTTAAATTTGAAGATTGGGACTTCTTGGTTCACTAAGACTGTAAGTAAGCAAAAAGTTAGTAATGAAAGCAGAAATCACATTTAAAACTCGAAGGGTATTTTACCTGGGAGACAACACAGTTACTGTTCCTAAAGAAGATACAGATAAAGGTGGAGATGAAGAACATTTTCATCAAACACACCCTGGTGGTTACTCACGTTTAATTTTGTTGTGATCCAGGTGAAGGTGTTGCAGGTGGGCATTGATGCGGGGAAACTTTGTGAGTTTATTATGAGACAGTTGAAGATCTAGAATGGATGACACATCAAAACCACTGGATGGGAGCCCTGAATCTGATAATTTGTTATGGTTGAGCCTCAGGAAGGCCACTTTAGGAATAACATTAAAATAATTTTCTGGTATTCCTTCAATGGAATTGTTGTCCAGGAACAGTTGCATTGTGTTGGCTGGTAATCTTGGTGGCATGTTCCTCAGAGCATTCTTGGCCATATTTAGCTGCATGAGGTTCTTGAGTCCCTTGAAGGTGTCTCTTTGAAAGGCGTTGTCTAATAGTTTATTGTGCTGCAGATCCAGAAGGGTTAGATTTTCTAGATTGCTAAAGGTCCCTTGAGGAATTCTGGACACCTTGTTTCTAGCTAACTGCAACTGTTCTAAACTTCTTGGCAATGGAGAAGGTACTTCTTCTAGCTCATTGTCTTCAAGAAATAAGAAAAGCAGCTTCTTCAGCTGACTTAGGGCTCCTTTTTCAATTCCATAGTTGGTTATTTTGTTCTTATTTAAATTTATCCATCTCAACTGGGTGGCATTCTCGAACGGCTTCTCAGGAATGGTTTCTATCTGATTGTTCTCAAGATACAGATACCAGATCCGTGAAGGAATAGCAGGGATTTCTTTGAGACCTCGATTTTCACAATATAAAGCAGTAGGGAAACTTGGGGGACAGAAGCATTCCCTGGGACAATCGAAGTCATCCATCGTCCAATCCCCTGGCTCATGTACCTCATAGACCTGTCTCACACTCTGAGTCCATACCGTGTCTGTTATGAACAACACCCAGATGATGAAACTGATTGTGCTTGCCATAATAGTACCTAGAGCAATCAGACACACAGCTATTAGATCACCAGGACCTTGACCTTTAGGTATTGACATCAAAATGATCAGTAAACATTGTTTCTTCAGAGATGAGTTGAAGATATCATTTCCATAGATATTGATTAAAAGACACACATTTATTTAGTAGGCACCATATAGATCATTTTGCAAATTTCAAAATTAATTCGCCAACTCATAAACTTCTGATTTTAACCCAACTAATGAAAGCGGAGAAATGGAAAGCAAATTTTAGCAGCTCTAAGTGCTTTTCCATTTCTAGCTATGTAATAATTCAAGGAACTTAACTGAAACCAGTAGTTGAATATAAGAGTACAAAAAAAGTGATCTTTTAATAGTTCAAGTTAAAGTCTGTGTCATTCCTAAGATGGAGTCATATGATTTTGCTTCTACTTTGACTCCTAAATGAGAAGAACATCTGGAGGAGATTTCCCAGGTTCTTTGGCACTTGATCCAAAGAAATGAAGAGATCAAAGAATATTTTAGTAGTTTATTGTGAAGGAAAGTTCTACGATCTGAAGAAAAGTGTGTGTTTTTTATCTTGTTCTGCTGCTGAACTACTCAGGTAAGTTTTATTTGGTGGGAAGACGACTTCAAAAATTGTAAGTAAACAACCAGGTTGTCCAGCTCAGAAATTGAGTTATAATCTATCTTTTATATAATCACTCTGTCATATATATGCCTCACACAATCTCCCAGAAATCTCTTTTGTTGTGCAGATATACATACAAACATACGTATATGTGACAAAGAGCATTTATTACAGAGTCAGATATATCACTCATATGATTATGGCTTGATTAGAAAGATAACAAAACAAATATATTCAAGATATGAATATATTTGTGATGATTTTTTTATATCCATATATTCACAATGGATAATAACAATAAATAGATAAATACTTACTGATATGTGAAATATTTAAAAGATATAAACTCTTCCTACCATATATCATCAGAGATCATTGTTCCAAATTCTATCTTAAGAGCAAAAAACATTTAGGCATAATGTGTATTTTAAACATTTATTTATAACATATACATGTTACATATTACATAGAAAAGGATATACTCATCAGTGTGCATTTAGTTAAGTCAAGTGATAATAAGAAGAAATTTTACTGTTTCCTGGAAAAATCAGTCATTAATGAAATGCTGATCTTTCAATTTTGCCATTAAATTGCAGAAAATCACAAGTGCAGAGCTGCTTCTACAAGCTGTCAAATCTACAATTGCAGAAGGCTGCTCTGGCCATCTTCCAACAGAGACACGTTAAAATTTTTTCAGAATAGGGATTTGCTTCAGTTATTGAAGTTGTAACCCTACATCCGATGAATCAGAACACTGAAGTCTTAGCTTTATGAGTTTTAAAAAGTGCAAAAGAGTTTACCTTGCCTTCCAGGAATATACCGTTGAGTCCTGTGTCTGAGTCTGCAGTTTGCTAAAAGTCAGTTGAAGAAAAAAAATTAACTAAAAAATTGTTTTTTCTTTATGCTGTCAAGCCTCCTTTGAGAAAAAGTAAAACCTACACTGAGCAGTCACCATGAACACCTTTTGATGTATTGTTTTCACTTTGACAGGGCGTCAGAGATGGCTTACCTCAGCCTCCTTGGATCTTCTTCTTCCTTTTCTATTGGTCACTGCTTGTTCACAGAAATGGATTGACCCAGGCTCCACTGCTGTGTTTTTCTGAATCCTCTGAAATATATATGCACCAGTGGCTCCAACTTAACCCCTCCAACAGCCACTCCATCTCTATACCTAGCCAACCCAGCAAATGAAATTCTTACTTTAATTTCAAGAACTTATAACAAAAACTCAGGAAGATTTTCACTCCTAATTCACAGTTCCAAAGATTTTGTAATGCACTGGTATCTAGACCTAATCTACCAGCAGGAAACTGAAGGCAGTTTTAATTTCAACTCTAACAAATAGAGATTTTAAAAATCATTGTTTTTCTCTAGATGATCTTTTGAAAAAACAACCAAGAAATAAAGGCCAATGCCCTCTGTTGATGTGGACATATTTTATTTGTTTTTGATATAAAACAGATGCTACAATGTATTTGATTAAGGAAAAAAGAAATAGAAAAATATATTTGAAGAATTTAAAAATGCTATCCAGAAAACTATAGCTAATTTTGGCACTAACCACCGTCATACTCTTTGCTTTATAGAAATACTTTTTGTATCTCTGTTTCCCATACTTTTAATAATTTATTTAAAGTAATTATTAAAATAGGATGATTCTTACTTATTATAATAGAACACATGTTTTTATTTAATGCCTTATAAGACATTCTGTTACACTGCCTTTTTTTCTTTAGCACAAGTCTAAGCTAAAGTTTCTTCCATTTTCTTATATTTGAGATAAATATTGTATGTCTCAAGGAAAGATGCAAGCAATGTCTCTTTTTCATACAGCATTCTGTAGATTGATTGAAATCATCTTGTTTTCCAAAATATAATCTTATTCTGAGATCAGTGTGTTTCATTTACATTACTCATTCAACACTGTTCACATTCGTATTATCAAAGACAGAGCACAGGAAAGAAGAGAGAGACTGGATTGAAAGGAACCTTTCTGGGCCACCTCTTTCTTTCTTGCTAAGTATAGAGTAGAGCACAGTTTTGTCCTCTATACAATAATAATTGGCTACTTCACAGGGTTAACGCTAGTTTGTAATAAATGATGAGGGAAATGTTAATCTCTCTTGGTATCAGCCCTATACTCCCAAGTGAAAATGTGTTTATGTTAAAGGGCTTTTATAGACTAAGATCTGATCCAGACATCTCACATTGTATTTAAAGAAAACAACCATTACTTACTTTCTCATAACAGTTTCCTTATTTTTCCACTGAATTTCTTCTTCATTTTCTCCCTCTCCTTTTTTTCTAACCCCTCAAGATACAAATAACAGAGGATCTTCAGATCTGCACAACTCCTTCCAGCTACTCTATTATCTCTTAATTTTATTTTTCAGTCAAACATATATCAGTCACTTCTTAATTTTATTACATAAATGTTGTTATGTGTTCACTGTAGAAAATCAGAGTAGTATACTTGCTACTCCAACCTATTTCCCATTCACCAATTCACTTATGATACACTCATCAAATATGGCTTCTAATTCTATTGCTTCTTTAAAATTGCTCTGACCATCAATGATCATCGTATACACTAGTCTGCAGAAGTCTTTTAGTGTTTCGCTTACTTGACCTATGACCATTGTTAATACTGACCCACCTCTTATTGATGTTCCTGTAAGCTTTTCTAACATCATTCTCTCTAACTTCTTCTCCCTTTTTTCCCCCAAGATTTCTCCCTATTTATATCTCAAAAATTCTGTTTCCTTTTTCTAGCAGTTTTAAAAAGAGCTGTTTTCTTGAATTCAGATCTCTTTGAGATGTTGTCCTCTATCCTGGGTTCTTCCTGCCCTCTCCACACTTTATGAATGACTCTGATTTTAACCATCCCCTTCATTACGATGTATCCTGAATCCACTTTTCCAACTCAGCCTCAGAACAAGACCTGTACACCAACGTTTGTTTGTGTCCGCCTTCTGAATATCTCCTGTTGCATGTCTCAAGGGTGTATGTGTGAAATGAAACTCACTGTCTCCCATTACTTCTAACTGCTTTTGTCATCTTATACTTTTGAGTGACACTATCATCACATTTAGTCTCCCATATTTGAAATCTGGAAATCATTCTTGACTATTTCCTCTCATTTTGTGCACATATGATAACAATTACATTTTAAAGACCCAAAGAGACATGATATAAATAAAAATGACTATCTGCAATGCTAACCAGGTTTGGATATCATTATTTCCAGACTAGAAACATAGAATTTTTTCCACTGTTAGAATAATTTCTAGTTGTATCTTGATTTTCCATATAACGATCCTATTTTCTTCCTTTGATTATTGATTCCTGGAGTATGGGGACTTCAACACTTCTCCGAATTAGTGGAAGTGGAAGTCAAATTAATTAAACTGAGAAGATGGTAGGAATGTCTGAGTCATGATAATTTTAATAAGAATTAATAAAAGACTCTGCCCAGCTTTATCTGATTCTTCAAAGGCGAAAAAAAAAGAGGCCTACAGTATAATCATGTGGCTTTGGTAGTGTTTCTGGTGGCAGATTTTTTTTTTAGAAGTCTGTGGGGCTTTATAGATAGTAGTTATTTAATAAATGCTTGCTGGATGAGTAAATAAGCAAATCAATACATGAGGCACACATTTCAATTTGGTATTTATGTTTTTTTATGAAAGTAACTGTGTATGTAAGAACATGGTAGAGAGCCTTAGGTTTTTGCTTCAAAAAATTAGAGTTTTCTGTCTGCATCTAGTTTGTTATTTGGCCTTGTGTATGTCATTTAACCAGCAAGAATCTATATCGACCCATAATACACCTGCCCTACATGCTCGGCTGGGTCATTAGATCAAATGAGATAATGAGGGTAAACATGTTTCAGAAGTATAAAATATTTTCACAGTAAAAGATGTTAAAATGCAAGGAAAATTTGTGAATCTCAGCAGAAAGGGTGAGGTTAACATTTCTGTGTCCCTGCAAGAAGCCCTGGCAGAAACTCAAGAGACAGTAAAAGGTTTGTTGTCATTGTTCAACCTTTTTTCCTCCTTTTAACATCTTTAATATTTTGTGTTTGCTGCACCTAATGCTATTAAAAGGGAAGATGCTTTGCTAAACTATCTTAGACTGAGGAATTTAGCTTGTTACATTCCTGAAGATCATTGACCTTTTAAAAGGGAAGGCAAGGGATGATGGCCATGAAATTCTAGCTGGATGTCAAATTTCTTGGCATATGTATCACACACAGATGTTAGGCCATGGTAGGTTGGAGTACTTAGGTGCTTCCAGGATCTTTGTTTATCAAACATTAATTGAACTGTTGTCAAGGTAAATAATTTTCTCTTTCCTAATTAATTTTCAATTTGACTAAGCTGTGTCAAATTATTAAAAAAATATAAAAGGGATCCACTAAAATCCAAAGCTTACACACATACATAATTTAAAATTCTGTTAAAATAATACATTTAAAGTATTGTAGGAATATATTCAAAAAATCAAAATCATCACAAATCTAATTGTGAAAACGGGAGTTACCTATTGTATAAAAGGGCTGAGGATGTAGTTCAGCAGTGGGATACTTGTTTAGCACGTGCAAGCCCCTGGATTCAATCTATTTTGAAAAAATTGTTTCCATTCAGTGAGTAGAGACAACGTTGTGTGGTGTCTAAAAGCCAGATTTTCTTGGGTAGAGCTTGAAGAAATCTCTGCTATTTATTAGCAGTGATACTTTGGACAATACTCTTTGCCTCCTCATGAGTAAACTAAGGGAAATAATTATGATGGTGATGATCCTGATATTAATAAAAATACCCATCACATAGTGTTATTGTGAAGAATGAATACATTTGTATATTAAAACATTTAAAGTGTTGATAAATAAAATTGGATGTATTAGGTTCACTTTTTTCTCCTGGTGGATTTTTCCCTCTGGCATGCCATGTCCTACTTTAATATAGTTCACTTCTTTTTAGAAATCAACCTTTGCTCATTTGACAGATTGCAATGCTTAGGTTATGAGACATATTAGTTGGCTTGGGGTTGAAGAGGGCTATGGGAATCCTCCCTTTTAAACTATAAGGTATTACGTAGGATGAAAGAAAGGGCAATTCCACTGTATCGCACATAGCAAATATTTGTTTGAAGCAGGAATTAAAACCATCATGTAGTGTGTCTTCAATACAATGATTCTTCAAATGCTAACTAAGCGTACCTATGATGCTTAGTTAAAAATCACACTGTCTGTTGAAACAGTTTTTTCAGTGTGTGTGTAGCAAATACAACCTTACTTCCTGAGCCTCTGAGTATATTATAATCCTGGGTTCCCTTTACCCATCTGCTGGTCTACAATTCTGTTACTTCCTCCATTTTTATCCTTACCCTTTCTTAGTAAGCCCCATAGTGTTGGTAGAGCACATACACTGACCACTTCCTGTTACCCTGGATGTTTTCTTTAATTTATTTATTTTGTGGTACTGGGGATTGAATCCAGGGCCTTGCACATGCTAACCAAGTACCCCACTGCTGAACTACACCCTCAGCCCTTTTCTATTTTATTTTGAGACAGGGTCTCACTAAATTACCCATGCTGACCTTGAACTCATGATCCTCCAGCCTTAGCCTTAGGCCTACCACATATGGCCAGGTTTGGAATACTTTCTATTAGTATTTCTTTTATTTGAGAACTAAACTTGTGTTTTTACAGCACACAATTGATATTTAACTATATAAAATTCTATCGTGAATTACTTTCCTCAAAATGTTGAAGACATTCAGAGAAGTTATTGTCTTGTAATTTCTGTAGTTGCAATTAAAATGTTCAATAAAATTATATATATTTTTTAAATCTTCAGAATATGTTCTTTTTCTCTCTCTATAAACTTTTAGGGTTGTCTCTTCCTTCTGTTTGTGGAATTTTATAACTGGATTCAACACATATGTCTTCTTAGTACACTTTTCATAGTTATGAATTTTTACTAATGCTAATATGAATTTCTTCTTTCATTATGAATAACAAATCTTCTTTGCATAGCTTACTTATCCTTTCTGTCTAAAGCAACCCGAGGCTCTCCTGATTCTAAAACTACTATAAACTCTGTCACTTCTAAGCTATTTTATTTTGATTCACTTTTAACATTTCTGACTCCATTGGGTGCCCATTGTTCCAGGATTCTATAGGGAAGAATTCATCACTGAATTAAAATTACAAATAAAAATAGCCTTGTAATTCTTGAGTGAGCTCTGTTATGAACTTCCCAGAATTGTTCTACTCTGGGATAATTTTTGTCCAGCTTCTCAAGTTCTCTCATTTCCACAAAGTTAGCTTTAGCTCCAGCTCTATTCAAATTAAAGATTATCTCTAACA